AAGAAAAAATATTATCAGACTATCAGACAAATTTACTTACGCTGTTAAACAACATTTGGGAAATATTTAAAATAGAAAAAAAAATAAAAAGGGGGGCTAAAAATTCTGACTTCAACTTTTTATTAGATGACAAGATGAGATGATATTAGATGACTCATTTAGGAAGTATTGTGAATGTGTGTTATTTGTTTTTTCTCTGATTTTGGCAGCCTTTTTAACATTTTAAAAGTAAAATGAATTACATATGGTTGTACGCCTACTTTAGTAAAATAGAAAACATTTATAATAATCAAATATAATTCAAGTGGAAAGATAGATTGTATAATAATATAAATTAATAATTCATTCATTCATTTTCTTTTCGGTTTAGTCCCTTTATTAATCAGGGGTTGCCACAGCGGAATGAACCGCCAACTAATCCAGCATATGTTTTACACAGCAGATGCCTTTCCAGCCGTAATCCAACCCTGGGAATCACTCATACACTCTTGCAATCACACACATACACTACGCCCAATTTAGTTTATTCAGTTCACCTATACTGCATGTCTTTGGACTGTAGGGGAAACCGGAGCACCCGGAGGAAACCTATGCGAACATGGGGAGAATATGCAGACTCCACACAAAAATGCCAACTGACCCAGCCAAACCAGCGACCTTCTTGCTGTGAGGCGATCGTGCTACCCACTCCACCACTGTGACATCCCAAACTAATAATATTAATAATAATGAAACAGCAATAAAGCTATTTTGTGGGGTAAAAACATTAATGGAGTTTGCTATAGTTTCTAATATATTCTTAATGTGGCCCTTACTGTGAGCTGATTGGTTGTTGTAAAGTAGGCATTTCCTTCAGTAAGATTGGGAAAAGGGTTTCGAAAGTGTTAATACAACCTCACAGACGCCTCCTCTACAACATTTCTGTTTGTTGTCAAACACAGATGGAGGGGCGTGGTTAAATGTTAGCTACGCCCAATATCTCAGACAGAGGTAATCTGACAGTTTGACTATAAACAAACAGGACGTCCATTTTTAGTCTTCAATTAAACATTACAATGGCAAATTATTTTTTCTGAATGAAATGAACAGTTCACCCATAAAACTAGGGATGTGAGCTAACAAAATCATAGAGTTAGTTTTGATTTAATTTGTGCTTTAAGGTGTTCATCAGCAGACGTGGTGTGGACAGCAGCAGGGGCTTTCTTGTCAACCTGTGAATCCTGCTCGAGCATTCATATTGATTTTTGAATTGTTGCTTTTTTGCACATTAGCGCGGCTGGCACGTTTGCTGGCACAAGCAGAATGAAGTGCGGGCACTCAACGTGATGAGGTCTGCAGGCAGCTTATCAGCTCCGGCAGAGCGTACAAACACTGGAGAATCTACTTGGCTGGGAAACTGCAATTGACAAAAACCTCAAAAATTATCCAGGGGGTCGTATTGAGGATGGAACAACGGTTTGGGGGGCTTCGGCTGGCATAGACAGGGGCTCAGTGATGCTCTTGTGTTTTGTCAAGTGGAGACAGAAACGTTCATGTATGTTTCATGCTAAATTAAAAAGATTGTTCATTGAATAAAATTCAACTTAATCTGTTTGCTTAAATGCAGCTCAAAAAAATTGTTTACAGCCACATAATGTAAAAACATTGTGTAAATCCAAGGAATCATCTCTAAATAATTTTTCAGTGAAAGATAAAAAATTCCTCAACATTATTCATTCATTTTCCTTCGGCTTAGTCACTTTACTCATTAGGGGTCGCCACAGTGGAATGAACCACCAACTATTCAAGCATATGTTTTACACAGCTGATGCCTTTTCAACTGCATCCCAGTAATGGGAACACCCATACACTATGGCCAATTTAGTTTATTCAATTCACCTATAGCGCATGTCTTTGGACTGTGGGGGAAAACGGAGCACACGGAGAAAACCCACACCAACACGGGAAGAACATGCAAACTCCACACAGAAATGCCTACTAGTCCAGCCAGGACTCGAACCAGTGACCTTCTTGCTGTGAGGCTACATTGCTAACCACTGAGCCACCAGGTTGTCCTACTTACATTATTATTATTTTTATATTTTTTTAGGTAACACTTTATAATAACTGCACACTATGAACCATTTATTGAGCATTAGAAAATAGTGAATTCATTATCTGCTAAGAATTAACTCTACATTAATAAGCGTTAGTAAGCAGTTTGTAACTGCAGCTACAAATGTTCTATTCTTGACTCACAAACACATTTATAATGTGCTTAATAATTGTAATTTGCATACTTTGTTGATTTATTTTCATTATTAAATTGAGTTAGTAAATGATTAGTAAACTATTAAAATTAACATTTATAATTTCTATTATTCAGGCATATATTTATAGTTAATTAGTGATTAATACATGCCTTATTAACTTAACTTCATCCAGTTTTGTGACCTAATCTAAAGTATTTCAGCTTTATAAATCCCTTATAAATGACAATTAAAGGCTCGGTTATATTATAAACAGGAAAAAAGAAAATAAACGATATAATTCATTCCTATTCATTTGAAGATACACAAATGAAACTGTACTTCGAATGAAAAATAAATCTGTGCAACCTTATCTAAAATAAAATTACTGTGCAGTTTAAACATTGCATCTTATTATATTGTTAAAGTATTATATAGTTGTTGTTTTATCCAGTTTTATGATGTATTTTGACACTCCTGTTATTTGGCAATGTTTGAACTTTACAGTAATTTTACATTTTAGTCAAGATTGCAAAGATTATTGTTCAATTGATACTCAGCCTTTAATTGTTATTTATAAGGGATTTATAAAGCATCAATAGTCCTCACTTTAGATTAGCTCACAAAACTGGAGGAAGTTGAGTTAATAAAATGTTTACTAACGTACATAGCAAGCATTTCTATATGCCTAAATAATACAATATATAAATGTTAATTTCAAAAATTTATTAACCATTTACTAACTTATTCTGAATGATCTTAAAAACCTCCAACTACTCTTAAATACAACTGGTTTGTAAATAATGTGATACTTCATTTTGTAATAAAAAATAAATTATTAACAAAGTAAGAAAATACAATTATTAAGCACATTATAAATGTGTTTGTAAGTCAAGAATAGAGTGTTTGTAGCTGCAGTTATAAACTGCTTACTTACGTTTATTAATGCAGAGTTAATGCCTAACAGATAATGAATTCCCTAGATGCTAATGCTTAATAAATGATTCATAGTGTTAATATAAAGTGTAAGCGATTTTTTTTTTTCTGTTGAACACAAAAGAAAATATTTTGAAGAATGTTAGAAATCTGTAACCACAGACTTCCATAGTAGGAAAAACAAACAAAATGGAAGTTAATGGTTATAGGTTTCCAAGATTTTTAATAGCTTATTTTGTGTTCAACAGACAAAAATAAACTGTTTATTTGATCAGTAAATAAAGCTAAATAGTTTTGGGTGAACTATCTCTTTAATACTTGCTAAAATGCCTCTAGATTTCAGGAGAATGTAAAGTCAAATGATCTTTTGCGATTAAAAATGTGTAATTGGATATTTTGGCCTTGCATTTTTCCTTGATGCTGCTATTGTAGATTTTGATTAAATGTGTGAAGATGATGTTAATTTTTAGGATGTGAAATGCTTTTTACAATCTTAATATGCAGAGAGAATTTAATAAAAAATAATTATTTAATATAAAAAAAGGTGCAGTGCCACAATCGCAGAAAGAAGGTCGCTGGTTCGAACTCCAGCTGAGTCAAAAGGTGTTTCTTTGTGCAGTTTGCATGTTCTCCCTGTGCTTGCGTGGGTTTCCTCCGGGTGCTCGGGTTTACCCCACAAGTCCAAAGACATGCGCTATAGGGGAATTGGGTAGGTTAAATTGTCCGTAGTGTATGAGTGTGAATGAGAGTTTATGGGTGTTTCCCAGTACTGAGTTGCAGCTGGAAGGGCATCTGCTGTGTAAAACATATGCTGGATAAGTTGGCGGTTCATTCCGCTGTGGCGACCCCTGATATATAAAGGGACTGAGCCGAAAATAAAATAAATTAATGACTAAACGGGATACATTAAAAGAATGAAAAGTGACAATCATGCATTTATAACAGTTACAAAAGAGTTTTTTCATTTTCAGCAGAAAGTCAGGATGTAAAAAGAATTTCTGAAGGATCATGTGACTGAATACTAGAATAGTAATAATAATAAATTCAGCTTTAAATTAAGAATAAATCTTAAAATATATTCAAAAATGATTTTTTTTTATTAAATAACATTTTAAAACATTCAAACAAAAATATTTATTTAAATTTTAATAATATTTATTGTTTTACCTTTTTCGCATATACAGTTGAAGTCAGAACTATTAGCCCTCCTGGGATTTCCTTTCTTTTCTTTTTTTTTTTTTTTATATTTTCCCTTTCATTAACAGAGCAAGGAATCTTTCACAGTATTTCCAATAATATTTTTTCTTCTGGAGAAAGTCTTATTTGTTTTATTTTGGCAAGAATAAAAGCAGTTTTTAATTTTTTACAACCCATTTTAAGGTCAAAATTATAAGCCCCTTTAAGCAATATTTTTTTCCACTGTATACAGAACAAACCACTGTTATACAATGATTTGCCTAATTAGCCCAACCTGCCCAATTTTAAGCCTTTAAATGTCATTTTAAGCTCAATACTAGCATCTTGAAAAATATCTAGTGAAATATTATGTACTGCTATCGTGGATAAAAGAAATGAGTTATTAAAACTATATTATGTTTAGAAATATGTAAAAAGAAAACCTTCTTTCCATTAAACAGAAATTGGGGGAAAAATATGTATTATATATTTATAATTCAGGAGGGCTAAGAATTCTGTCATCAACTGTAAATGCAGCTTTGGTGAGTCTAAAACATTAGTAAAAGTCCTCAAACTATCAGCAACTTGAATCTAATTATAAAACACCACATAAGAATACACATCACACTTCCTTGAAGCTTTCATTAAACACACACTCACCTGTACTGAGATCAGAACGAAGGTAATCATAAGCTGTGACGTCGGGCTGATGAATTTGGGCGGTGTGACAGACTTCTTGCCCTGTTCAAAGATGCGGTAGATCCGATTGGTTTTGGTGAGCATGGCGGAGTATGTAATGCTCATGCCCAAACCCAACAGCAGCCTGCGGAAAGCACACACGACAGTCCCGGGCTCTGCGATCATGAGGAAGGTGATGAGGTAAATTAAGAAGATGCCAGTCAGGAGCACGTAGCTGAGCTCTCGGCCTGCGGCCCTCACGATAGGGGTGTCGTTAAAGCGGATGAAGGTGATGATGATGAAGAGCGTGGCCAGGATGCCGAGGATTGCCAGGAACAGCGGGATGACGGCCCAGGGCGAGTGCCACTCCAGCTTGATGATGGGAGTGGGTCGGCAGGCCGTGCGGTTGAGCGTGGGACGCATGTCGAAAGGGCACATCTCACAGTTGAACTCGTCTGCTTGGAACTGATAGCCGTCGCAGAGCTCGCAGTGCCAGCAGCATGGGACGCCCTTCACCATCTTCTTCCTCTCGCCGGAGCGGCACGGAAAACTGCACACTGAGTCCGGGATTTGACGGGAGCCGCCTGTCCACTGCATCTCTTCAACCTGATGAAATATGATAATAAAAATTGGTAAATTCATATAATTTAGTTCATTGTTGAAGTTGATGTCTGGAATAGGTGTGAACATTCAAAAAAAAAAAAAAAAAATATATATATATATATATATATATATATATATATATATATATGTATGCATGTATGTATGTAATTATTATTAGCCCTCTTGTGAATTTAAAATTTCCCAAGTGATATTTAACGGAGCAAGGAATTTTTCCACAGTATTTCCTATAATATTTTTTTCTCCTGGAGAAAATGTTGTTGGTTTATTTCGGCTAGAATAAAAGCAGCTTTTAATTTTTTTCAAAACATTTCAATGTCAATATTATTAGCCCCCTTTAAGCAATATATTTTTCAATCAATTACCCTAACTCGCCTAATTAACCTACACTACCTGACAAAAGTCCCATCTCTCATCTGTATTCATGTTTAATGCCTCCTCCTTCATCTTACCCCAAACATGCTTAAAAATCTTCATGTCTGGTGACCGGGCTTGCCAATCCTTAAGCTCCTTGACCTTCTTTGCATTCAGGAACTTTGATGTGGAGGCTGAAGTATGAGTAAGAGCGCTATCCTACTGAAGAATTTACCTTCTCCTGTGGTTTATAATGTAATGGGAAGCACAAATGTTTTGATACCTCAAGTTGTTGTTGTTGCCATCCACTCTGCAGATCTTTGCATGCCCCTACACTGAATGTAACTCCAAACCATAATTTTTTTTGTTACCAAACTTGACTGATTTCTGTGAGAATCTTGGGTCTATGCGGGTTTTCTGAAGTGTTTGTGAAGATTGGGATGCAATTCAACAGATGGTTCATCAAAAAATCTACCTTCTGCCACTTTTCCAAATTATCAACTAGAAGTCAAGTTAATATTTGTTGCTCTTACAACTCGGATCGATGACAAGATTTTTGTCAGGTAGTGTAGTTAAGCCTTTAAATTGCACTTTAAGCTGAAGTCATCATGGTAAAGATAAAATAAAGGGGTTACTAGAAATTAGCTGATAAAAATATGTTTGGAAATGTGTTGTATTTCCATTAAACAGAAATATACAGGAGGGCTTATAATTCAAGGTCATGATCGATGGTCAGGCAGATAGAGGTCGATCACTGGATGAAACGGGTACATACAGGTATTACAAAAATACAGGATCTAAAACAGACTAACAGTCAGGCGGTGATAACACTGAAAACAAGGTAAATGGTTAAAAACATATCTAGACACGGCCAAGACCAGAAAACGTTTCAGGGTGTTAAAATAACAAGACTTAATAATGTGTGTGTGCAAGTGTGGTGTATAAATTATCTGTGTAATGAGATCTTGATCAGCTTCCAGCTGTAAATGTGTAATTATCTGAGAACGGGAACAGGTGTGTGTGAGTTGCATGACAGGAAATGTAGTTCGTAAAATGACAGAATTGTAGTCCAGGTGAAGGTGCGTTTTTACCAGCAATCTGCAAGCCTGGATTGCTGGTGATCATGACAAATATCATGTACTGTCATTATGGCAATCATAGAAAATATTTATCACAAATTAGTTATTAAAACTGTTATGTTTTAAAATGTGTTCACTCAGTTATAACACTTTTGAATTTTATTTAAATTAAATAAATTGTTTTTAATTAGTTACTTTCACAGGAGGGCAAATAATATTGCCTTCAGCTGTAATGAATTATTATTATCCATTTTAAACTATTAGTGACCTTGAAATGCAGTGCAGAATCTGAAATATTGATTAATTTTACTTTAAAACAGTTAGCATGCAAAAATAACAAACTCTAATGTGAAACATTTAAGCAAAAAAAAAAAAAAAAAGTTTATATATCTGATGTATAACTCCATCATATTCTCGGATGCTTTGGCTGTCAGTATAATTAATTTGCATGCTAATATACAACTGAAGTTGACTTGCATTGAGCCTCAGGTTATTGGTCCACTGGCCGATGACTCTGTATCCTGGACTGCTGGTGTTGGTCATCTGGTACTGAAAGATATCATAGCGTCCGGGAGCATCACCATTTTCATTGAACAAAACGGCAGTGCCAGCGCTACCTGATAATCAGAAGAGACATTGTTATGATGTCATCACAGCAAAAAACAATAACATACATGTCATTTCTTTCTTAATGCTTTCACAAAGGGAAAAGACATAAGAGCTCATCGCAACTTACAATGGGATAGTTCAACTCTATTGATATTTATATAGCACCATGGTCTTGCCACAGATTTGTTTCACTTTTGTTCCACATGTAGCAAACAAAGCTCAACTTAACTTGATTTTATTCCCTACTATGGATGCAAATAGCAATCGGTTTCCAACATTCTTTAAAATATCTTTTTTTTTTTTTGGGCCCTATATATTATAAAGCGGCGTCAGGTTGTTGCAGCGCCGATCCCCTCTTCTTCCTGTCAGTTCTTCTTCTCCTCTGAGACTCTAAACATCTTCACTTTCGCTCTCCAGCCATCTGTCTTACAGACGCTCCACTCATGCATACTTTACCCTGCTGCATATTACATGCAGTGATACCCACTTTAACTCCATCATTAGATTTTAACAGTAAACTCTGAATGCACCACAAACAGATATTCAGCTGCATCCAAGCGACTGAAAGTGCATCTCCGTCAACCTGAAAATGTGTATTCAGTTCAAGTTATTAGATCCGTTCCTCAAACTCAGCAAAAAAAAACACACATGCCTGAACCACTGATAACCTTGCTTCTGTTGAAGCGGATGGATGAGGATTTGTCTTTTCCCTGTTTGTTCTGTCTTGTGCAGAAAGAAAGACAGCTTCATTTGAAATTCTCGGGTGGGGAAAAGAGGACTTATTTTCCATGCGATTTTCTCCGTCACAATAATGCATGTTGCTTGTTCAGCCAATTCCCTGCAGGCGAGCTCGCGACCAAATGTTTGCAAGATGACAGTCACTCTTGAGGAAGTCATTTAATGGGAATTCCTTCATGGGCAGCACCAGAGCAAAGTTGGATTTGCTTGCCAGAGCTTTGCTATTTTTTGGAAATTGTTTGTCAGGCAATACTGAACTATCAGTGCCACAGTGAGGAACTAAGCACATGCTGGATTTAAGTGCATGAAAATACATTTGCAGACACATTTAAAGAGGGTATAAGAAAAATTTTCATGTATTAATCATGTTTATTATTGCAAAACTGTTAAGAACTTGTAACACTTTTAAAACAGGTTCTTTACACTGTAAAAAACAATTACTATTTTTTTGTGTCTTGTTTCTAGTCCTAATACATTACATTTCTTAACTCAAGGAGCATTTTCTAGACAAGCAAACAAAATAGTCATGTTTTATGAAATAATATGCCAACATTGTGTAAGTTTTTCCTAAAAACAAGCTAAATAATCTGTCAATGGGGTAAGCAAAGTCATCTTGTTTTTCTTTTTGACACGAGATTAATTTGCTAACTCATTTAATTTTGACATGTTATTTCAAAATTAAAACAAGGCAAAGTGTTTTGCATGTCTAGAAAATGTTTCTTGATTTTAGGAATTTTTAGATATTTGGACTAAAAACCTTACAAAAAAGAAATAAAATCTTTTTTTGCAGTTTATAATTGATTTTTATGTTAAAAATTGAAAATAAAAAGTATATGAAGCTTTATCTGTAGCTCATGTATGTGCAGTTGAAGTCAGAATTATTAGCCCCCCTGAATTATAAGCGCCCCTGTTTATTTTTTCCCCAGTTTCTGTTTAACGGAGGGAAGATATTTTTAGCACATTTCTAAGCATAGTAGTTTTAAAAACTTATTTCTAATAACTGATTTCTTTTCTCTTTGTCATGATGACAGTAAATAATATTTTACTTGATATTTTTCAAGACACTTTTATACAGCTTACAGTGACATTTAAAGGCTTCACTAAGTTAAGAAAAGGTGGACTAGGCAGGTTAGGGTAATTAGGCAAGTTATTGTATAACGATAGTTTGTTCTGAAGAATATGGAAAAAAATAGCTTAAAGGGGCTAATAACTTTGTCCCAAAAATGAGTTATAAAAAAATTAAAACTGCTTTTATTTAAGCCGAAATAAAACAATTAACACTTTCTCCAGAAGAAAAAATATTATCAGACATACTGTGAAAATGTCCTTGCTCTGTTAAAAATCATTTGGGAAATATTTAAAAGAGAAAAAAAAAATCAAAAGGGGGCTAATAATTATGACTTCAACTGTATAATGCATAACTTGCATTAATACAATATAGTTACATAAACAGTCATAAAAGACTTTATTTAGAATCTAATGGTGCACTAAACTCATGAAAAGTGAAATGAAGACCATTTATAATATTACAAAAATATTAAGTTTACTATTTATTTTAGATTTTGCTTTCCCAAATTGCTGATCCTAAACTTACTGTTTGTTTATTAAAGACAAAAATGTTAGGAACATGTATAAACATTTTAGCCACAGAAATAATTTCCGTTTTATATAAATAAAATAGAAAACTATTATTTAACATTGTAATTTTACTGAACCGGGTCACACTAGAACAGTGAGGAACTTAGCACATGTGTTGAATGTGTTCAAAAGACATTTGCAACACATTTAAAGAGGGTATAAGAAACTTCTTTTATGTATTAATCCTACTTATTATTGCAAAAATGTTAGGAACTTGTAACACTTTAAATAATCTTCTTTACACAGCAAAACTTTTTTTTATTATTTTTCTTTTTTGTCTTGTTTATAGTCCTAATATATAACATTTCTTAAATCAAGAAGCCTTTTCTAGACAAGCAAACAAAATTGTCATGTTTTATGAAATAATATGCCAACATTGTGTGAGTTTTTCCTTAAAACAAGCTAAATAATCTGTCAATGGGGTCAAAAGTCATCTTGTTTTGCTTTCTGACACAACATTATTTTGCTAACTCATTTAATTTTGACATGTTATTTCTTAAAACAAGGCAAAGTGTTTTGCGTGTTTAGAAAATGTTTCTTGATTTACGTAGGAATTTTTAGATTTTGGACTAAAAACAAGACAAAAAAATCTATGTAAGAAAAGTTGTAAAACATTTTTTAAAAAATACAAAAAATATATTTTTTTAGATTTCTGATTTAAATGGTGCATTAAACTAATCGAATGTAAAATGAGGACTATTTATAATATTACAAAAACATTTTAGTTTTTAAAATTTATTTTAGATTATGTATTTCTAAATTGCTGACCTTTTAAACTTACTGTTAGTTCAATAAAGTCAAAAGTATTATGAACAGGTTGATATTTTAATCACAGAAACAATTTGCATTTGTATTTAAAAATTGCTGACCTTTTAAACTTACTGTTTGTTCATTGAACACAAAAGGGACATTTGTTAACCTTTTGATCATGTAAATAAGTTCTATTAAAAATATAATAAATAAATAAATAAATCCCTTATTTAAAATTTGAATGAATTAAAATTTTACTGAACCATGCCACACCGATACAGTGAAGACTTAAGCACGTGCTGGATTTAAATGCATGACAAGACATTTGCAACACATTTACAGCAGCTATCTGCAAGAATGTTCATGTACTAATCGTTTTGATCATAGCCAAATTGTGAGGAATTATGTAAAAGATTTATGAAAAGTTTTTGCTTTTAATAAATAAAAACAGTATGAAGCTCCTTAGAGCCTCTCTTCTGTTCCACGAGAGAAAGAAAAATGCAAGAAAAAAAGATCCTAATGTTTGTTCACCAAAAACAAAGTATTATATACATTTGTTCACATTTTGAAACAATTTCCCATTTAAAATAAAATAAAACAAAACAGAAAGCCATTATTTAAAATTTTAATAATACTTTACAGTATTTTTACTATAGTTTTGGTCAAAAATTTAAATATTTAGTAAACAATTATTTAGTAATTTTAGTGAATTTACTCTTATAGATCAAAAGGATGCTTCTACTAAATACTGAGCAAAGCGTCTGCATAATTAGGACCATGTGATGTTTAAGCTTTTCTATTTTAATAAATGAGCAAAAATGTCAAAAATTCTGTGTTTTCCTGTCAATATAGGGTGCTGTCTGTACATTAATCAGGACAAATGACTGACAAAGACTTTAACTTACCCTAACCTTCTCCACAAGCAACTTAAGTCTTTTAGATTTGTCTCTACAGGACGCAGTGTACATGATAACAGAATTTTAATTTGTGGATGAATTATTCAATTATCCAAGGGCAGACGCGTGTCAATATGCATGACACTATTGTTCAATCCAAAAGAGCCATTGAGGCAAAAACTAAAGCTCTCTCTGGGGTTTATTTCGGACCTTTGAACATCTCTATGGCTTTCAGCCCAAATGCACTTCTGATGCCAGTCGTGTCTCATCTTCAGTGATTGTGATCTGGTGTGATGTTGACTCACCATTAAAGTTGACAGCGCGGATGTAGTTAAGCAGTGAACGTCCCTCCACCGGGTCCATCTTATCACACACACCCGTGGCTCCCGGACACAGCTCCTGGTGCATGTTGTGCAAAGCATGAGCCATGGCATACACCGCATCAATTACAAACTGAACCTTGCCCTCTTGCTCGTAATGAGAGTCACGACTGATCCGTTCTTCTCCTGTAAGATGCACAGAGAGAGAGAGAGAGAGAGGGGGGGAGATTAAATAAGATCTGTATCTGTATCAGCCTGTTATTAACACAGAGTGTCAGCCATTAGACAAAACTGGTCAGAAATTGTACATATATATACATACAGTGGGGGAAATAAGTATTAAACATGACACCATTTTTCTCAGAAAACATATTTCTAAAGGTGCTGTTGACTTGAAATGTTCACCAGATGTTGGTTACAACCAAATAACTCCATATATGCAATGAAAACAAATCTAACTTGCTTTCAAATGAATTTAAATGTGATAAAATGAAATGACACAGGGAAAAAAGTATTGAACAGATGAAAATAAGAGAGGTGTAAAAGCCTGTGAAAGCTTTTCTCAGCAACCATCTGCCCTTCCTCATTGTAAATGAATATCAGCCGCTTCAGTCCAACATGTACATTTTCAGGATGATGAAGATGAAACCAGCCCAATGTCCAATGCTTTGGAAATATTTAATGTTGCCATTAAGTAAATACTTGCCAACAAAGCATTTAAACTAAGCACAGAGACACAATCAGTGGACAAAACTACTCAGAAATATTACATATCATCTGAATGCATATACATTATGTATTTTGTTTGATTATTTATTTAATTCTCTCTTATTTTTTATTTATTTTTATTTTTCATTAACTTTTTTTCAACATCATACCAGTCTTTGTGTTGTTTATGTTTGTATGTTTTTATGATCATTCATTCATTCATTCATTCATTCATTCATTCATTCATTCATTCATTCATTCATTTATTCATTCATTCTCCTTTGGCTTAGTCCCTTATTTATTAGGGGTCACCACAGCAAAATGAACCACCAACAATTCCGGCATAGGTTTTACGCAGCAGCTGCTGCACTTCCAGCCACAACCCAGTACTAGGAAACACCCATTAACTCTTGCATTCGCACACGCACCAATACGGTTACAGAAAAGTTTGCGCTGTTATAATTTACTTATGCTTTAATAAGTTTTGGTGCGATTATAATACTTTTATTAAAAAAAATAAAACGTTTTGAATGAGAAGCTGTAATGAATTTTTTAAGGGAAACCATGTATATATATATATATGTAGTCAGAATAATTAGTCCCCCTTTGAATTTTTTTTCCTTTTTTAAATATTTCCTAAATGATGTTTAATAGAGCAAGAAAATGTTCACAGTATGTTTGATAATATTTTTTCTTCTGGACAAAGTCTTATTTGTATTATTTCGGCTAGAATAAAAGTAGTTTGTTATTGTTTAAAATAAAATTTTAAGGTCAAAATTATTGGCCCCTTTAAGCAATTTTTTTTTCTGATAGTTTAACCTAGTTAAGCCTTTAAATGTCACTTTAAGCGGTATAGAAGTGTCTTGAAAAATATCTAGTAAAATATTATTTACTGTCATCATGGAAAAAAAACAAACAAATCAGTTATTAGAGATGAGTTATTAAAACTATTATGTTTAGAAATGTTTTTAAGAAATCCGCTCTCCGTTAAACAGAAATTGGGGGAAAAAATAAACAGGGGGTTATGTAATATTCTGACTGAAATTGAATATATATTTATTTATTATGATTATTGCTTAAACACATAGTAAAACAAAAATAATAATATTAGGCCTATGTGTAGGTCTACTGTTGGTTAAAATTTAAAATGTTGTATAGACTTGGAATGGTGGACTTCAATAGACTTTAAATTTGTCCTTTCTCTAATGCACAGTAAAGTGATTATATCAGAATACAACTATTCATAATTCTGAAGTTTCTCAATTCTGAATAATTATGTTTGAGATATTTGCTTGTAATCTGTCATTGCCAACACTATTAGACCATTTTTCCACTAGCAAAACGAGGCATTCGTCATCATCAGACTCCTTCTTGCATTATATTCAACTATATATAGGCTAGAGTAGTTATACTGACACTCTTAAACATTTAAACATGTTCAGTCATTGTTTGCTTTGAAAGAAAAAACATATTTAAAGCTTGTCTTAGTCATAACTCTAAAATGCGATGATCATTTAAATCAGGGGTCACCAATCTCGGTCTTGGAGGGCCGGTGTCCCTGCAGGATTTAGCTCCAACTTGCCTCAACACACCTGCCTGATTGTTTCAAGTATTCCTAGAAAGACATTGATTTGCTTGTTCAGGTGTGTTTGATTAGGGTTGGAGTTATAGTCTGCAGGACACCGGCCCTCCAGGAACAAGTTTGGTGATCCCTGATTTAAATGATATTCTCGCTTTCAGCTTTACTTTTACTGCGAGTGCGCTCATGTCATGACTGCCATCACTTTGACAAAAACATACCCTACATGCAAATCCTACTTCCCATGCGGTTCCCAAACGATCACTCTGTGCAATAAACTGAATGTTATTTACAACTTTATTACCTGTTATCCACAGCCTATGCAGGTTCTGTTCACTAAAGTAGACATTATTCCTCTCTCTGGTAAACGCACAGCTCACAGTCAGGTCACCTGTGATTTTGTGGTCAAATATGTCATTACATGGAGAGTTTTACCTTATAAGTATATTATGTGGCTCTTTTAATAACATGTGGAGGTGTCCGTGTTGCTGAGAAATGTATATAAAACAATGTGAATACTTTTGTGACCGCCTTCATGCTTCCCTCCTGAACTTAAAAATCAAATTGGTGGAATCGTAGAGATGCTGGACTAAGATCATGTGGGGAGGTTGAATCGAGATCACAATCTTTTTCCGATAAATTGTGCAGCCCTGGTTTATATAATTTCCAATTTGCTTTGGAAATACTTAACAAGGCTTGCCAACAAAGCATTTAAATTGAAAAATAAATTGAGAGAGTGGGGGAGAGAAAAAGAGAGAGGGGGCTTTATTCTTTATATGGGTTCTACAATTACTGTTAAAAAGGTTTGCTTCCCCCCCAACATTGAAAATTCTTTTATTATTTACTCTGAAGACCTTCGTCATTTCTCTTCAGAACACAACTTAAGATATGTTTGATTAAACCTGAGAGCAAGGGTCATAAAACATTCAAAGCCCAGAGAGGAAATTAAAAGCACTAATTTAGTTTTTTTTGTGCGCACAAAAGTATTCCCGTAGCTTCAGAAAATGACTGTTCACCCTTCACCTTTGAAAGAATTACTTTCTTCTTGTACTGAAAATATAAGACAAACTAAAGCTTCATCAAGAGGTAACTGTGCAGATAATTTTAGTTACTGCTTTTGATTGTTCAGCAAGAAGGTCGCTGTTTTAAGCCAGTGGGCATTTCTGTGTGGAGTTTGCATGTTCTCTCTCTCTCTCTCGCATGTTTCTTTTGTGTGCTCCAGTTTCTTCCACAGTCCAAACACATGAGCTATAGGTTAATTCATTCATGCATTCATTTTCTTTTCAGCTTAGTCCCTTTTTTAATCCTGGGTTGCCACAGCGGAATGAACCGCCAACTTATCCAGCACATGTTTTATGCAGCGGATGCCCTTCAAGCTGCAACCCATCTCTGGGAAACATCCATTCACACTCATACACTATGGACAATTTAGCCTACCCAATTCACCTGTACCACATGTCTTTGGACTGTGAGGGAAACCGGATGACTCGGAGGACACCCACGGGAATGCAGGGAGAACATGCAAACTCCACCAAAAACAACAACTGACCCAGCCGAGGTTCGAACCAGCGACCTTCTTGCTGTAAGGCGACAGCACTACCTACTGCAACACTGCATCGCACAATAGGTGAATTCATTCATTCGTTCATTTTCTTGTCAGCTTAGTCCCTTTATTAATCGGGGTCGCCACAGCGGAACGAACCGCCAACTTATCCAGCAAGTTTTTTTTACGCAGCTGATGCCCTTCCAGCCACAACCCATCTCTGGGAAACATCCACACACACATTCACACACACACTCATACACTACGGACAATTTAGCCTACCCAATTCACCTGTACCGCATGTCTTTGGACTGTGGGGGAAACCGGAGCACCAGGAGGAAACCCACGCGAACGCAGGGAGAACGTGCAAATTCCCGATTTGTGAATTGAATAAACTAAATTGAATGTATAATATGTGTGTGAGGCGACGCAGTGGAGTAGTAGGTAGTGCTGTCGCCTCACAGCAAGAAGGTCGCTGGTTCAAGCCTTGGCTGGGTCAGTTGGCATTTCTGTGTGGAGTTTGCATGTTCTCCCTATGTTCAAGTGGGTTTCCTTCGGGTGCACTGGTTTCCCCCACAGTCCAAAGACATGTGGTACAGGTGAATTGGGTAGGCTAAATTAGCTGTAGTGTATGTGTGTGTGAATGAGTGTGTATGCGTTTCCCAGTGATGGGTTGCAGCTGGAAGGGCATCCACTGCGTAAAACATATGCTGCATAAGTTGCCGGTTCATTCCGTTGTGGTGACCCCAGATAAAAAGGGACCAAGCTGAAAAGAATGAATGTTTTTTAGAACAGATCTCACATTCGGTGGACACCCACCACTGGGAAACATCCATACACACTCATTCACAAACATACTCTACTGCCAATTTAGCTTATTCAGTTTACCTATTGCACATGTTTTTGGACTTGTGGGGGAAACTGGAGCACCCATGCCAAGATGGGGAGAACATGAAATGCCAACTGACCCAGCTGGAGCTCGAACCAGCGACCTTCTTGCTGTGAGGCGATTGTGCTACCTACTGCGCCACCATGCTGCCTCCATTATAAAAAACAATCAGCTGTTAAAAGTTCTCCAACTTTCAAAGCATTTAAAAAATGTTGCTCAGAACTGAGGCTGCGTCCGAAATCGCGACATGAGTAGGTATTTGAGTATGAATTTACTGAACGACTGCTAGAAAAGTATGTTGTATATAGTATAAATGTGAGTAGTATGTATGGAATTTTGATGAACTACATCTACCATTTGTCATTATCACGTGACCTCAATGAGTCAGTCACGTTGCTTCACTCCCATTCATGAATTCTCTCACATTGCGCTTTGGGATAGCGTAGCGTCCATTAAATGCGCACTCCAAAATCTCCCCAGAATTCTGGGTACTTCTTGCCTACTGTTTTTTCAAACACTACGAATTTGAACATACTATTTAGCTCTTTACTTTTTACTATTCATACTATTTATTTTTTAATGTACAATATAGCAGGAAAGTTCCAGCTGCAGGGCAGCAATTCCATTGACAACAACTGAACACTTGCCCAAATGCAGCCAAATGCCACCTTTAGTTGTGTGTTTATCTGAAAATAACTGCACACCTTAGAATGTTCATCAGCCAATCAGAATCAAGCATTCAACAGCCCTGTAGTGTTTTATTACCCTATTAATTACCTTATTTTTCTCACATACGAGTGGGCACAGCCAATGCAACCTTATTAGCTCGAGATTTCTGGTCTCATTCACTTCAGTTGATTTTAGGAGTAAATAAAACAGATTGTTGTGTTGCTTGATGCCACAAAATGTATTTTTTTATTATATTATTACATTATTTAAATTTTTATGTATAGCCATAAACTCAAGTAGTATTTTGTAGAACAAGTAGTTTAACTGTTTACTACTGTTTGCTATTCCTAGTAATTTTTCTCTCAAAGAAAAATTAATTAGAAATCTAAAAACTATCACTGAAAAAAGCTTTTTTTTTTTTTTTAAATAATTTGTTTTAGTATACTCTAGCCAAAACTTCTGGAGCAGTTTTCTGACTGTCCATTGGCCCTGTCAAATAAATAATGGAATAAATATCTAAACACGGTGAGATGTGCGAGCGATAAAAAGAGCTGAAGGGTAAGTAAAACAGAAGACACATTTTTTAAGACTTTTTAAGGTCACCTGTCATTGCTCCACACATCAGTTCACTTGCAAACGGCTATCAGCAGCTCTCACCTGTGCATTTCTTCTTTTCTGGGTCGATCTTGATGCCTGGACGTGTCAATTTGCACCTGAAATCGTCCTCCCAGAATTCAGCAAACCAGATATTCCTGCGGTTGTTCTCCAGAGATCGAGTGGTGAAGTACTGGTCAAACCCTGATTGTAAAGAAGAAAAATGACCAATTATAAGTCACTGCATGTTATAAATGCACTGTAAAAAGCAATTAAATGACTTTGCTGAGACAAAAGTCCTGTCACTTAACAGAAATAATGCACAGTAAAGAATATAAAGTCATTCTGCATTAGAGAAAGATTTAATATTGTGCATGACTCCCATGAGCTTGGAGGACTGCATCCATACATCTCTGCAATGACTCAAATAACTTATTGATAAAGTCATCTGGAATGGCAAAGAAAGCGTTCCTGGAGGACTCCCAGAGTTCATCAAGACTCTTTGGAATTATCTTCCAATGCCTTCTCCTTCATCTTACCCCAGACATGCTAAATAATGTTCACTTCTGGTAACTGGGCTGGCCAATCCTGGAGCACCTTGACCCTCTTTGCGTTCGAGAATTTTGATGTGGAGGCTGAAGTATGAGAAGGAGCGCTATCCTGCTGAAGAATTTGGCCTCTCCTGTGGTTTGTATTGTAATGAGCAACGCAGATGTCTTGATATCTCAGGCTGTTGATGTTGCCATCCACTCTGCAGATCTCTCGCACGCCCCCATACTGAATGAAAAAATCTACCTTCTGCCACTTTTCCTAATGATCAACTAGAAGTTATTTTACATCTTGGATCGTCCACAAGGCTTTTGTCAGATAGTGTAATTACGAAGTAAACAAACTATGTAAATAATTATAAAAGTTAAGTTAAGGTAATGGATTTACTGACTTTTTAAGTAAAATCAACTTGTTGCTTGTAAAGCAACGGGTTTTCTCCCTTTTTTCGAAGTAAAGCAACTAACTTTTTACAGTGTGTTATTCCAGTAAACATGTTAAATCTTTTGTGCATTCTGATGGACATTTTTTACTTTTTCGTTTTATTTTGTTGTTATCATTTTGGCTGTTTATGCGAAAAGCACTTGGCAAGGTATGAACATAAAGAATAGTTGACATTTTTAAATCTATTTCCTGTCATAAAACTATTTTACATTAGGTAAAAATAATAGTTAACACTCATGAACTTCAAGACAAAAATGTTGCCATTGAAATGTCGTAAATTGTTCAACATTCTTGCTAACATTTTGCTTAAAAGACTTCAAAGTTTGTGCTTGTTTTACATAAAATTTATAATACAGTATTTAGCCAATTTTAATTTTTTTTTAACTTTTGCTCGGTGGAAATAAACACATAAATAAACTCTTTTTTTCCTGCACTTATTGTGTTTTCGGCATATGACTACTGCAGGCCAAATGATTTAAAATTATATAATTACAATATACTTACAGTTGAAGTCAGAAATATTAGCCCTCCTGAATTATTAGCCCCCTTAAATATTTTTCCTTAATTTTTTTTTTTACAGAAAGATAATTTTTTTTGGCATAACTTTTAACATAATATTGCTTAAGAGCCACAGCCATATCCCCCCTGCAGCCCGAGACTGATAACTCAATGAAGCTAAGCAGGGCTGAGCCTGGTCACTACCTGGATAGGAGACCAAATGTGAAAACTAGGTTGCTGTTGGAAGGGGTGTTAGTGAGGCCAGCAGGGGGCGCTCAACCTGTGGTTTGTGTGTGTCCTAATGCCCCAGTACAGTAAAGGGTACTCCATATTGTCAGTGAGCACTGTCTTTCGGATGAGATGGTAAACTGAGGTCCTGACTCTCTCTGGTCATTAAGTCCATTGGCATTTCTTGTAAAGAGTAGGGGTGTAAACTGGTGTCCTGGTCAAATTCCCTCCATCAGTCCTTACCAATCATTGCCTCCCAATCATCCTCATCCACTGAACTAGCTCTATCACTGTCTCTCCACTCCATCTATAGCTGGTGTATGGTGAACGCACTGGCGCCTATGTCCTGTGGATCCAAGTGGATGCTGCACACTGGTGGTGGTGTGGAGAGAACCCCTCATGATTGTGAAGAGCTTTGGGTGTATGGCCATAATCAATGAATGCGCTATATAAACACACATTACATCACATTAAGAGGGCTACTAACATTGACCTTAAAATGTTTCTTTTAAAAATGCAAAACCGCTTTTATTCTGGCTAAAATAAAACATTTAAGATTTTCTCCTGAAGAAAAAATATTATAAAAAATACTGTGAAAAAATCCCTCCTCTGTTAAACATCTTTTGAGAAATGTTTAAAGAATGAAAAAAATTCACAGGAGGGCGAATCATTGTGACTGTATAGACGTTGGTATGGATGGCATGTTTTTGTAAATAAATATAAATGTATGAGTAACCACAAAAATGAAAATTGTGAATTAATTTTTATACTTTACTGGCAACATTATCAAAACCTAACATACTTTTCTTAGTGACAGTACAACTATACTTCAATACTGTGACATTCCTGAGTGAGTTATGGAGCAAAAAAGAAACATAAGACAGGACTTGATTTTATCTGTGCTGACTAGATGGTGAAAACTGCGAGTTGAATGTTGGAAGGAGAAGGAGATCTAAATGCAAATGGATCAACTGCATCACATACATCACACATACATGTCAACTAAGCATATGGAAGAGCAAGTTATGCTGTTTTGATTTAAGATTCCACATTTTCTAATACAAAAAATACATAATGCATAGCAGAATCATTCATGTTTAAATCAATAACACACATTTATTTCATGCTGACTCAGAGGATGCACATTATATTTCAAATACCATCAATAGACGCTCTTTTGGGCAGGATGGTGACGGCGCCTTCAGCCACGTCCTCCTGGTCCAGAATCGGGGAGCTCTTGGCACCCCAGCTGTCTGATCCCACAAACTTAAAATGACCGGTTAGATTGGACCTCCTCGCGGCCTCCAGGACCTGCCTGGACAAAGAACAAACAAACAAACAAAAAAACAACAGAATTACATAAAACAGAATTAGAGTTTTATGCTCAAGCAAATATACATTCCTTCATTTTCCTTCGGCTTATTCGCATATTTATCAGGGGTCATCATGGCGGAATAAATGGCCAACTATTCCAGCATATGTTTTACACAGCTGATGCCTTTCCGGCCGCAACCCAGTTCTGGGAAACACCCATACACTCTCACACACTTACTCATACACTACAGCCAATTTTTGTTTACATAATTCACCTATAGTGCATGTCTTTGGACTGTGGGGGAATTCGGAGCACCTGGAAGAAAACTCACGCCAACACAGGAAGAACATGCAGACTTTTAAAGACATTTTAAGACCATTATGAATTAAATTTTAGACTCATAAAGAGCAAATTTTTTTCAAAATGCCCAGATGTAAAAAATGCCCTATCAAAAACCATTATAATTTAATACATTTATTAATAGAATAATAATTTAGTAATTATTTTTTTTATATAAATATTTAAATATTGGGTAAAAACAAGTTCTACTTGTATTCATACACTTTTTTTCCCCGACATAAACTTTTCTTAAAATAAAAAAAAATATATATTTTTTTTTTAAGTTTTAAAAACTATAATAAATTAAATCTATGCACAACAATCAGTACAGGTCTATGTCCTTAGCAGTAAATACATAGAGAACTTTTAAACAAATGTTATTTTAAGAAAATAATTAAACCATTATGGTAAATAGAGTTAAAAATGACCTTTTTATATAAAAAGTTGAAAGTTTTATTGAGATGGATTGTAAGTCATTGTATGGGTGTTAATGGCCAGATTGGGTAGCTATATATGAACAAAGGACAAATAAGACCAGTTAGACATTTTAAGAGTTTTTAAGATCCCTGTATACATTATATGTATAGTTAAAAGTCTATTTGGCTTTGCAGGCATAGCAATCTTGTTAGGCAAGTATTACATCTTTATTATCAAAACTATTTATAGGTGGGCATAGATTATTATAGATTAATCCCACTGTTATCTTGGAATTAATCTAGATTAATCTTGATAAAAAATGGCTAATTTGAATTCTGCCGAAGGCATTCAGAATATGTGTGCTACCCAAATAATGACTAAAAGTAAGTCTTTCAGAACGGGTTTCCAAGCCATTTGGCGCTTTAGACCAGGGCCTTATCTCCGGTTTCCAAAATGCATCACAAACTGCTTGAGGAAACTCTGCTACTATGATAATTGGTGATAAAAATAAATGATGTTTAATAAGATGTACTTGTGTTTACTAACTGTTTATTCAGTTAAACTTTGAACTGTAGGCCTACATAAGCTCGAACAGTGATTATTGATCACCTTAATCTGACTAAAGACATAACTGAACTAAACAGAAATGAAATTAAGACATGTAGTATGCAGATATTAGTGGCATTATTAAAGCCGCAATTATATTATTGTCTATTAAGGCAAATAACTAGATTACTGAAGTCCATTTAAGCGTAGTCAGTAGTGTCTTCGAAGTAAGTGAAATCCAGAGGGGCATCCTGCTGATTTGATTCAGAAGGGCACTTTTTTGTCAGACGGCTCACCATTCAGGTATACAGTACATCTGCGCTAAAATATCAAGATGAAAGTCATCATAGCTTGCGCAGAATAGACCCAGCTCCCAACCCAACTTTGAGAAAAGATTAACAGCGATATTTTTTTTATTGTGCGATAAGAGTCTCGCATTAACGCAGCACGTTAAACGCCGATAACGGCCCACCGCTAAAATTATTACAATATGATTCAACTCGGGAGGCATGATGGCTCAGTATTTAGCATTGTCACCTCACAGCAAGACGTTTCTGTTTGGAGTTTGCATGCTCTCCCTGTGTTGGTGTGGGTTTCATATGAATGGTTTCCACCACAGTCGCCCACATGCACTATAGGTGATTTGGGTTAACAAAATTGGCCATAGTGTGTAAGTGCGCATGTGAATGTGTATGGCTGTTTCCCAGTACTGGGTTGCGGCTGGAAGGGCTTCTGCTGTATAAAACATATTCTGGAATAGTTGGCGGTTCATTCCACTGTGGCGACCCCTGATAAATAAGGGACTAAAGCCTGGTTTATACTTCAAGTGACCGGCGTCAACCCACGGCGCATGCAATGCGTGTAGCTGTGCATTTATACTTCTGCGCGCTGTCTCTGTTGGTCTGCATTAACACTTCCGTAAGGCTAGTTGGCAGTGAGGTGTAAATGTTCCTCTGTGTCGAGTTTCTTTGCTGCTGTTTTCCTGAACACTTCCGTGATGTACAAGTGGCTCAAACTCGCTCATTTTGAGGCAGGAACCGGTGGATGTGCAACAACTTTAACTATGTGGTAAACACAAAACAAAACTTTCCAACAACAAACAATCGCTTCATCAGGCTCGCACCATTCACGCGGCTCTCGGTCCCGCACAGACTCGTCAGCCATACCAAGCCGACCAATCACAGAGCTTGCGCTACGCGTCGTTGCGACGTGTAGTTACATTTTTTGAGAGGTGCACGTCAGTGACGCCGACGGCCACGGCGAAGGGCTATCCGTCAGCGCCGTAGCATATGTCAGCGTTTGACGCAGAAGTATAAATCAGCCTTAAGTCGAAGGAAAATTAATGAATGAATGATTTAAATGCAACTGAATTTGTCATTTTTGTAGGATGCAAAGATGCCGTCATCTAGAGTTTTTTAAGGATTGTTTACCAAGAATAAAGTAAAAGATACTGCCCCTTTAATCATTTTGTTTGGCCTTTTTTTTCTTTTTTGTCATTATATTTACCACTGACTTGCATAAGGATCACAGCTTCAGCTAAAAACCTTCTTTTAGTACACCTTAAATGCTATGAGGGTGAGCAAACGAACTGCAAAAATTTCATATTTGAGTGAACTATCCCATTAATACAACACATAAGTCTCTAAACGAGAGGCGCTTCATGAAATTCAAATATGTAATTGTTAGAGTGGCACTTAACCAAGTTATTATGAATTAAGCTATTCAGTTATGTATGTGCTTTCTGCGCTGAAAGCGTGGTTGACAATTTAGGCAGTGTAACCGACAGCCTGTGTTCACAGAAGTGCATTAATGAGAGGGAAACTTCATCTGTACTGATATTCTTCACCTCGTAGGCCTGTCAGAAAGCATCAGCGGTGAGGCATATGGATTAGAGACTGTGACACTCAAACACAGAAAGGCAAACCGTCCCTTGTGAGTGTTGACGGTGATAAAAAGTCTTGTTTGCTACTTCTGAATCCATAAGGTCAAATGCGGAAAAGAGAAAAATGGCATTACGTGAGGAGGAATGAGGAGTCCTGGATACTGTATGTGCTCTTATCATATATGAAAAGGTCATTTAAGCTCTGAGATAACATGATAATGACGGCTTATTTGGGATTTGACACTCACTTTGACCTTTCCCAGGCAGCTTTACTGCTTTTTGGGTGAAGGTTGATGCTCTAAAATCCCAGATATATATTGTTGGATGTCTGATTATAATTTAAAATGGAGAATCAAAACACTTTGAGCACACTGGGGTTGTAAAGTCATCTTCCAGCCTAAACCACGGCGAATGAAGCTCTGCACAAGACTTTTGGCCAGCGGAGAAATTAAAATGGTCGTGCCCAACTGAGTCTGGTTCTCTCAAGGTTTTTTTTCTTCACTCCCATCAGGTGAAGTTTTTTTTCCCTCTCCGCTGTCGCCACTGCCTCGCATGGTTCAGGATTGGTAGAGCTACGCATCGATGAATTTGCTCTTCAGTGTTTGAACTCTCAGTAATGATTAAATCACACTGAACTGAGCTAAACTGAACTGAACTGAACTTAAACACTAAAACCTGAACCACACTGTTCCAGTTACTATGACCATTTATGTGAAGCTGCTTTGACACAATTTACATTGTAAAAGCGCTATACAAATAAAGCTGAATTGAATTGAATTGAATTAAAGTGAACCAAAAATGAAACTACTGCCATTATCTAACCCTCTTGTCATTCTTGTATGACTGATGTGTGGTATGGCTATGAAGAATAAGACTTAACATGCAAGCTAATAAGCATCTAGTTAACTTAAATTGTTACTATTTTGGTTTCCATTTTATAATACTACAAGGGTGCCTTACAGCAAGAAGGTCACTGGTTTGAGTCTCGGCTGGGCCAGTTGGCATTTCTGTGTGGCGTTTGCATGTTCTCCCCATGTTGGCGTGGGTTTACTCCGGGTACTCTGGTTTCCCCCACAGTTCAAAGACATGCTCTAGGTGAATTGGATAATCTAAATTGGCCGTAGTGTATGAGTGTGTCCCAGTACTGGGTTGTGGCAGGAAGGGCACGTCAACCTGATTTCAGCAAGTAGGACATATTTCTGGATTAACATCTATGCTGATCCTGGAACAACATTCCAATCAGCCAATCAGGGATATGTTTACCATTTATGTGAAGTTTAGGCTTACAGTTAGGTTTATTCACTTCTACATGATTATTTTCCAACTATTATTACCCTCTGGTTTTGGGAATTATTTACAATTGTAGTTGGGTTTAGGGGTAGGGAATAGGTATGTGTAACCCAGCTCACTGACTAGGTCACTAAAACAAATTATAAATAGTTTATTTTAAATTCTAACATTTTATTTTATGATTGTGAGGAGAAATATTAAATAGAGTTTGTTTATATTATATACACAGTGTTTAAATATTAATAATAAATAGAGAATAAAGTAAGTTTTGACTTGGTGGAGGTCGGAGGTTAGCTCCACCCCCTTGCGTGTGTGAGAGAGCTGCCGGTGACGGAGAGTCACTTTGATTAATCAGCACGAGCAGATTGAACGACATTAGACACTTTGAAACATCAGTTTAGATAATCTAAATGATCTAAAAATAATTTTGTTTCTTTGATTGACTGAGAAAAGCCCTAAAAGTTTCAGATTTTAAGGATAGGAAGCTGACAACAAGTGATAGTACTGAGAGAAGTGCGAGCGGAGC